TTTATTATGCAAAAGTAGTTGGAGGCACAGACCTCTGCTACTGTTATTTTGTGGGTCAAAAGCTGAAAAGTTTGGGAACCACTGCACTTTGGTTCCCAAAGTTGGGCTTTTAGGGTTATTAACGAAGTGCCTACACTCAGACCAGTAATATTTGGGGTCACAAGTTTTTGCCATGAATATTTTGTGGGTCAGAAGATAAAAAGTTTGGGATCCACTGCTGTAGGCTGTTCAGTTTTTATCATTTTTAAACTAAAAGTTTAAAAAACATATTACATGGACGGGGCTGTTTTATTTCCATGCAAAGCATTCTGGGTAAATGATGACGTTGCTCCTCGGTGTGAGTGAGCTATATCCACCCTGAAGGTTAATCTTGGACAATATCTGACGATTGGCTCTTTTAAAGGGGCAATATAATGTAAAATCAGCTTTTTTGAGTTTTATATCATGTTATAATGTTACACTCTCATAAAAACATGTCCAAAGCCTTGCTCTGACTCATTCATGCATGTTTGAGAAATCCTGCAGCGTTTTTAGAAAGCCATGCTGAGTTGCAAAACGACAGGTGGGGACCAGAAACGCCCCTGGGACGTGTCTTTAAGCCAAACTTCCTCGTGGCAGAGCGCACCCCCTCCCCACACCCCGCCCATGACTCCTGCAGGCTCTCGGGTCAAAGTGAAAGGGAAACCTAGCTTCTGCTGAGCTCACAACACTAGTTCTCACTCAGTGAAGAGCTTTTCAGATTAAAAATACCTTTGAGGAAATGTATTTTCAGATGCCAAGTAAACTGCATCATGGCACACACGCAACCCCCAGTGCGCGCGCACGAGCCCCCGCGTGCCAACCCCACCCCCCACCGAACGGGACGGAACAGAAGCAGAAGGAGGTTCTTAAAGAGACAGAGGCCAATTTCAAGGCGTTTAAAAGAGGAAGTGATGAGAAGATAAGTTTGTTTTTCTATTTAAACATAAAAACAGCATTTTAATAACAGCTAAAGGTGACATAGATACTTTATTATGGTATAGTATTTAAATATATGCCTGAGAAACACATAATATAGGCCCCTCGACAGAGAGGAGAAGGTAGAAATGACTCAGCCTGTAACTGAAAATATGGATGGAGGACAACAGAGCTGCTTCATGGAAGAAGAACCTCAGCTTAGCCTGTTAGCTTTAGCATTAGCCCCGACATTATCATCATATATATGTATTAGCTCAGCGCTACACATTCTCCTCTCGTCACTGAGGTCCTCCATCTACATGACAGAGAGGGGAACACAAAAATGACTCAGTCTGCAACTGAAAATATGGATGGAGGACCTCAATTTAGCTTGTTAGTTTGTCATGCTAGTGCTGAGCTAATACATATAAGGCAACATAGCATCAGTGGTAGCGCAGAGGCTAACTAAAAGTTGCAGTGACAGGTACTCATGAAAAAGTTAGGAATAAATTAATTCAATCTTTCATTTCTTTGTATTGCTGATCATTCTCCCTGCCTCTCCTCCCACTGTGGCCCACAAACTTTTGAATCATAGAAAACTGCAGACAAGATATTACAGTCAGGAACAAGCTGATGAGCCGTGAGATCACAGATCTGATGATACTTTAAAATGCACTGAATTTTTAAGAGCTTAGATGATTAGACATGTAGGCTGATAAGCTCTTGTGTAATCATTATGAAGATGACTCTGTGTCCTTATCAGATCTCTTTGCTGAAGAGCACAAGGGGCATTTTATGTAAAACTGACAGCGTACAGTCATGTCCAGCTTTCTCTGTAACTGAAGACTGAAGTACATGTATGCACAGTAAAGGGAAAAAAGAAAGTCCACCTCCTTTCAATTTTATAATTTTATGCATCAGGACAAAAAGAACCTGGTCTTTGGTTCTAACCCCAGCCTGCATCATCTGTCAGTGTTAGTATCTTGTGCRGGCCAGACAAATTTTGCTATGTGGGTTGTTATTGTAGTATTCCAGTCGCTCTTTCTTTTATTCACAAGAAAGTTTAAGAGCTCCTCTCTGAACTCCTCACAAGACTCTTCTTTCCTTCACTTCCACTGTTTGGTTTTCTTCTTCATCTTTACATTTTTGTCCTTCTTAATGACAAAAGTCATCCCACACACAACATAGAAAAACAGCTTAAAACCTGCCGAAATACTGCAAGCATTGCTGCACTTTCACTCTGTCTCTTTCATACATCTACCTTCTTTTTCTGCATCATGTCAAACAGCTCTCTAACTTGGCCTGTCATTGTCCCTTTGTTTAGATTTGCCACTCTTTTTCACTCTCTTGACATACTTTCTTCTTCCTCTGTCTCTCCTGGCACACACTTCCATCTTCATAGTCTTTGGTAACTAACACGCCACATTTTAGTTTAATAACTGATCCATGAACACTTTTTTCCACAATGCTCCATTTATTGACCTGCTGGTACAGTAAGCTGTCAGATTATCTATTTGTGACCGGGGACAATTTTTTGAACCAACTTCCTGTCTGTAGCTCCCTGCCCRGTGCTGGTGTGCCTGTTATTGACCCCATAATGAGACAGCGTGATAAGCAGGCAAAGAGACAGAGATGAACAGACCAGAGAGCTCCTCTGTGTTCAGTTTGAACCACTCAATAGTTAGTTGGAGCTCCACTGGCATGACTTCACTGATGCAACGCAGAGAGCAGCAAAGGTCTTTTTCTTTGTCTCTTATTCCAGCAAGGGACTAAAGTAGGTAAGTTGTCTTATTATATTGTTTTATTAAGTGTCATTGTTATTATTGTTTTGGACCCACTAATGTAAACATATCTGAAAGCCTAATATTGCAATTTCATTTTCTCATCTTTTGGTTACACCATTCAACGTCTCAGTTTTCACCTATAGCTCCAGGCCAAGCTTATATGCTTCAAAGTAGTGGTTCCCAAAGTTGAGTTGACCCCACTGTGGGTCAGAAGCTGAAACGTTTGGAAACCACTGAATTAAAGCAACTGATAGAAATCCCAAAGCATTAGACCACTGTGGCTTTTTGGATATTTTTAGTACTGAAACAAGAAAATATTCAGAAACAACTGCTTTGAATAAATCAACATGACACTTTTCAGGGATTTTTGTGTTCATACAAAAAGTTATAAAAGCTTTGAGAAGCTGATGAGCTACAGTATGATTATGTCAATGTACAAAGCTGCCAATAAGCTCCTCTTGTCTTTATGTCCTTATTGATGTTAAAGTTTAACAGAACGCATTAGACTTTACCCATGGTGAATCTGTCTCTCACAGGTAATTAGGTAATTGTATGTCTTTTTTATTGGCAATAATGTTTTCCCTCTTGTCAGGGTGTTCATGTGTTTGTCTGTCAGCAAAATATTTCACAAAACACTGGATGTGATTTAATGAAACTATCAGAAAACAATCAAATGGAAGTACATCCGCAACTGATTAACTTTCGTAATCAGTCCGATTTAAGGAGTTTGCCACAGCTTCTCAGTCAGTGTTACAGAAATCCGACCAAATTTTTATACAGTAGTAACTGAGCCATTCAAAATGCATGCTGAGTGTGACACCTGCAATATTGCATTAAATGAACATTATGCATAATTTAATGTAACATTGCAATAATGCATTAAATCATGCATAAAGTTAATTTTAATGTTTTGCCAAAACTGTTTTAACTCTGTCATTTTTCATCGTAAGATGTCTTAGACTAAAACTTTGTCATGAAAGAGGGCAGGCGATATGCMTTTCATCAAGAAAAATCTGGGCCTTTTTTACTCCAAGGACTCACTGAAGTGAGAATTTTTCATTTTTATAGAGCGATTGCAGTTTTTTTTTTATTGTAGTTAAATTAGGGTAAAGGTGTAATTGTGTGTTAAATCATGTGTATTGTCTCATCACAGTGTTTAGTTTTGGGAAAATACGTTGTTTCTTGTTTTTTTCTTTATTTTTGCTGTCTGTGCACACACACACCTATGAACATTTGCATGCTGKTTCAGCACATAATCACACTATTCTCACATTTTATGCAACAGTTGGTACAGTTATTGTATCGTGTGGGTGTTCAGAGGCAGAGCAATTTCATCGATCAGCTCGTAGCACTTGCTGCAGCTGCCCACTGGGTGTGAAGGGCACCGATGTGACAGCACTAATTACAAAGGCAGGAAGCCAGCATTCAAACTGTCACTACAGTAGCTCTAGCAAGCTTTGCTGGACTCAATCCACCCCATCCATCAGTTCCTTTACACCCTTTGTTCCTCTAGGGGGGATGTTTCTCACATCACATACTAGAATATTGTGCCATGTAGCTTCAAGTTATGGCACACAATAGGCTACAAGTAGTACTGTATGCCATTTTTTGGGAGGTGTTTAGCTAGAAAAACTAGCTAAAACTAGCCAAACTAAGCAAATGAACCTGCAAACCTTAAACTTCTGTTTAACTCTCCTGAATTATATATATATATATATATATATATATATATATATATATATATATATATATAATTTATCAGTGGACTAGTAGTAGCTGAGAGTACATACTCCAAGCTCTAACTTTATGTTAGGTGTTTGTTATAAGTTTTTTTTAACTCCAACCCCACTTTATAAATTACCAGGTTATCCCTCTATTTAACAGCGCTCTAACTGCTGTTTGCACAGGCGTGGCTGGTCCATAAGTATGGAGCCCTCAAGAGGACTTGGGGGATTTAATTTTTTTATTTTTTTGTATTTTCATGCAATAGTATTGCGTTACTTCGCAAAAGTCGTTTATCACTGTTTTGCCTGCTTGTTTATTATCACATTCACATGCTCACCATTAGCGAGTTTGCCTACTACTTTAATTAGTTTTGGAATGAATATATTAAACAGCCACACATAGTAGTACGTTATATGCTGAGATTTTAACTCAGTGCAACTACGCAATATCAGTGTCAATTTCCCAAACTTGTGGTAACTCATCTTTTCTTTGTAACTGGATATTTTAAAATAAAAAGTCTGATTTAATTCCATCCATACAAAACAAATGTTTGCATGGGAACACGAAACAATATTGCAAGGGAATGCAAAGATATTGCGAGGGAATGCAGAAGAAGAAAAATCCCCTCGTCCCCTTGCGGGCTCTGTAAATGAGAGCATGTGCTGCATAACAAAATTAAATCACCTCACAAAGAAGTTACTCCTAATAAACAATGTAAGTTGCTTATTTACTCAGCTTGTCATGTATTGTATTGTTCTGTTCTGTGTTTTTCAACTACTTTGACAATTTAAAACAGAATTTGAAATGTTTTTTTTTTTTTGTAATCATTTCTTGGTTTTTTACTTGTTTACAATTATGTAGCAGTACAGTCTGATGCCCTSCATTTGTCAGTGGATTTATCATGTTAATATATTACAGAGCCCGTGAGGGGACATGTGGGTATCTTTTTTTCTTTTGTGTTCCCGCATAACTATTGCATTATCTCGCAATACTTTAGGATTGAGATCATTAGAGGTACAGCACAGGTTGAATGGCTCAGGGAGAGGCCAGACTGAGAAAGTTTGGACATGTGCAGAGGATCTTATAAATGCAAATACCAAGAAAAAACTAAGAGGAAGTTAAATGGACATGGAGGTAGTTGAAGTGTGGACAGAGGACTAGAGTTGCCAACTGTCCCAAAATAGCCTGGATGTCCAGTATTTTCAGCCAAATTTAAATGTCCTGTACAGGAAGGTTTTTCTCCCATACACTGACTGCATCCTGCAATCAGAGACGTAAAATTACAGCCAAAAAATTGCATTTTTCTAATGCCCTAAACTGTAGGGGGACCACAAAKGACCATACTGAAGAGGCCAAATGCAACAACCAGATATAACACTGAGTGCACTGAAATGACGGGTAAATTTGCTCTACCTTTGACAGCTGCCATCAACACAGACAAGACCCATCAGGACTCTTTCTTCAGTTTTTYGACCTCCCTTGACGGGTGTCAGCAGGGAAAAACCCAGGGCGCAGGCAAAAATTCAAAGTGCAACAAAATGCTTTATAAAATAACAAAAAGGTTGTTGATGCAGCTCAAAATTTACCTAGTAGCTCAGGAAAATCACGAAGACACCACACAGGCTGAGGGAAAGCAGCGCAATGAACCAACAAAACACTGATGACAAGACTCAGAATATAAAGCAAACAAATTAAGAGACAATGGGAAACACCTGGGGAGATAAGAGGAAACAGGTGAGTGTGGGTGGGGCTGGAGGCAAGACAGCAGGGACGAGATACACAAGGGAACAGAGAAACACTAGAAAATTAAAGCAAAAAACACAGACCGTGACAGGGACCACCCCCCCCCCAAACGATGGCTCCTGATGTCAAAAAAGGGAGAGTTACAGGACTCAGGGAACATGGACACAAYACAGGGGAACTCAGGACAAAAAGCACACAAGTCCAGGGGGACAACCAGGAAACCATCCAATGTGTGACCCCGTAATCACACGAGGCCTGGCAGGGACAGCAGCAGACGTTGAGCCACGGGAGGAGGTGGGAGCAGACATTGAACTATGGGAGGAGGCGGGAGCAGATGTTGAGCTATGGGAGGAGGCGGGAGCAGACGAGGGAGGAGGCGGGAGCAGACAAAGAGCCACATTAGGAGGCGGGAGCAGACGAGGGAGGAGGCGGGAGCAGATGAAGAGCCACGGGAGGAGACGGAAGCAGATGAAGAGCCAAGAGAGGAGGCTGGAGCAGACAAGAGCCAAGGGAGGAGGCGGGAGCAGACGAAGAGCCAAGGGGAGGAGGCAGGAGTGGACGAAGAGCCGGCAGACGTTGATGGAGCCGGAGTGTCCACAATGGCGAACACAGGTGACAGAGGTGATGGGGAGGTGATGGGCGATGACCCAGGCGAAGAGGAGGCGATGGGCGATGACCCAGGCGAAGAGGAGGCGATGGGCGATGACCCAGGCAAAGAGGAGATGACGGCAGCTGACCCAGATGTCAGAGAGGCGCCGGCAGCTGACCCACAAACCTCAAGGACCGCCGACTCGGGACTTGCCAACTCAGGAGACAGTCGGACCGCAAACTCAGGAGACACAGACTCTGGAACCACCGGGACCACTGACCCTGGAACCACCGGGACCACTGACCCTGGAACCGCCAGGACCACCAACCCTGGAACCACAGACTCAGGAACTGGGACTGAGACCACCAACTCAGGAACTGGGACCGAGACCACCAACTCAGGAACAGAGACTGGAACCACCAACTCAGGAAACTCAGGAAACACAGGAACAGACTCAGGTGGTTTAGCAGATCCAGGATACTTAGGTGAATCAGTTGTAGAGACAGCCGGTTTGGGCATAGGAACCCCTGAAAAAAACAGAGGTGGGAGGGTGGGCAACAGAATCAGCAGGAACTGCTGCTCTCCAAGTGGAAGTCCTTGAGAGAAGGGCAGACAGCTTATCCAGCTTACTTCGCTCTTGCTACAGCTTCTCCAACATATCTTTAAAAATAACACCAGAAAAAATCTATCCTGCAGGCTGGGTACTTGGTCATTTCATTCTGACAGGCGTCTGCAATGAAAAACCCAGGGCGCAGGCAAAAATTCAAAGTGCAACAAGGGGCTTTATAAAATAACCAAAAGGCTGGTGATGCAGCTCAAAACATGCTTAGTAGCTCAGGAAAAACATGAAGACACACACAGGCTGAGGGGAAGCAGCACAATGAACCAAAAAAACACTGATGACAAGACTCAGAATATAAAGCAAACAAATTA